TTTTTATGTCTTCCTTAAAGAATATTTTCACAAATCTATATATACATATATATACTAATAAAAATAAAAATAACGTGTACCCCTATTTTACTTTGCAGCTATAACTATACCCAGCGCAGATCACTGTCGTGCACTATGGTAGTTACATATTAATAGAGTGGCATTTCTAATGGTTAAAAGTGATAGATTTAGGCATTGTAAAGAAATGCTTAATGAATCAGAATTTTTAATTTAAGAAAATTAAGTATTTCTCCAACTTTTTCAAACAAATTGTCAACTTTTTTATTTGTGTTGCGTATGTGTTTTAACATTGTGATCTTGTCTGTATTTCTTGATAGTTTAAGTTAGAATTGTGGTCAATCAAAGCTTTTCTTGGGCATTTCTTAGACAGTTAATGGTCGTCCACACTTACATAACCTTATAACTTTTATAAAGACATTTTACATACAATAACAAGTTCAATAATGAGATAGGAAATGCACTAACTACAGGGTACTTTCGTTTCACCGCCTTTTAGCAATCCTTATCCGTATGTTTGCGTGATGTAATTTTCCTTATCCGAACAACCAACGCTGCAGGTCAGTGCGGTGCTCCTAATAAGGTGTCGGCTGTTTTGCGAAGAAACACTAATAGGAATCAAAATTGTTGCACTCTTATAATGCCAAGGACAAATTTTGCAACGGCAACACTTTTATTATCTTATGATATTTGCTATTTGCATCCGTTACATATTAACAGCCCTTGAACACTTCATCAATTTCAGACTGTAATCGTTATATTTGACAATTAGAATGTTGTTACAATTAGAATTTGTGAAGGGTTTAAGGTTAAATATCTACCACCTATAGGAGCGATTCAGTGAACCATAATTTAAAGAAGTCAACGGAAGCAAATATATGAGTGCCAATGATGGCTTTAAAATAAAATTTTATAAAAATTGTAATGTCTAATTATCAAAGTTTTCTAAGGATAGATTTCTTAATGTATCTACTGATCGTAACCCGTCTGAATTCGGGCGGTACCTTTTTTATCGGTAGTTCATGGTGCAAACCATTCCCACCATAACCCAACCTAAGTCCTGGGCATTTGTTTATAAATTTGTAATGTATTAAATTTTTGACTTCCGTTTCATTCATTTAGGGGTACTATTTACAAAACTCATTTTACAGGGGATGATATCTAACTCAGCGGTTTAGGCTGTGGTTTGATCGATACATCAAACATTGATTGGGGGTTGAATTTTAAAAAATTGTATCTTAGTTGTATAAGGAACATTTATGTAAAATTTCAAGCCTCTAAAGGCAGGAAATTGGGTTGTGCATTGATATATCAGTCGGTTGATTTTATATACTTAACGATTGTACTTTTTAAAAAAAAAAAGTATAACTTATTATTACACGTACGATTAATTTAACAATTTACAAAGCTAACCGTTCAAACTTTTTATTTGACTCGTTTTAATGGTCATGGTCCCGACAAGGGTCGCAATGTCATATTGTTTTTTTTTTCTCGAAATCGATTACTTAATAAAATCGAACATGCAAGATCATTGTTATTCCAGCAAGGACGAAATCCAGTTACCGTTCG